TTCTCTCCTTCTCTCCTTCTCTCCTTCTCTCCTTCTCTCCTTCTCTCTCTCTCTCTCTCTCCCTCTCTCTCTCTCTCTCCCCCCCTCCCTCTCTCTGGGCAGGTCTGTGGTTCTGGCATCAGATGTGTTCAGGCTAGCAAGAGGCACCTCACGACTCAGTGGACTGCCAAAGTGAAATTGGTTGCCGGATCAGTTCTCAGTGTCTTGATGCTTGTCTGGCAATCAGCTTTTCTACAAGGCAAGCCCCTTCTCCCCCAAAACTCTTGTTCGGTTGCTGTCTGGACGAAAGTCTGAGGTCCGGGCCTCATCGCAGCTTGGCCGCTCCCATTGCGTCTTGTTCAACGCTGCCTCACATTCGCTCAACGAGAACTGCGGATATTCTGGTCAACTGTCAGCCTTGTGCTCTTTACAAAGCCAACTCTGGGCTGCTAGCATTGTGAAAGTACTCTTTCCCATCCTCAGTGGTGTACCTGCCACAAGTGATGTTCCAGGAAAGACCGTTCCTCCGAAGAGAAGCACAAGGCACTTTGTTTGGTTTGCACACTCTACAGAAATAGCACGAGCTGGCACGCTGGCACCTCTCCCAGTTCGGCGGTAGAGCCATGATGCTAGCTAGTACATGGCCGAACTATGTTGGGAAGTGTTGCTCTACGGTCTATTTTCAGGACTGTAAGAAGCGCTGCTTTGGTGTGCAATCCAGTCTCAGGAATATGGAAAAGCAAGGAAGTGTAATTGAGAAGAGACAATGCCTGGACAAGCATTACGTTGATCTGTTGATCGCTTTGCACAACTTGGAAAAGGCAGAAGAGTGAGGATGCAGGTAAAGCTCTGGTACTGCACCACGATCCGCATCCGCAAAACGGACTGAGTGTTCTTTTGGTTCTTTTTCGGCTTTGACTTTGACCCACCCGGCACAAATGTTCGGGAGAATCTCGCACTACTCTACTACACGCGGCAATGCTGGGCGGCAATGCCAAACCACTTGGCTAAGCTGTGTGTCCTTCGACATCGAAGAAGAAGAACCCTTGCATAGCATGGCTGTGCCCATGAGCTTTCTGCTTAGCCAAGCGCTGTGAAACAGCTGTGAGACACGACGCCTTGGGCGTACTGCTTTGTCCACAGGTAAATCCAAAAGCTCCAGAGCACTTGCACAAAAGGAAGTAGACTCTGAATCCGCCTGAATGCCAAGGTCTTTGGATTTATCTTCCATGTTCATTGCAAACTTTGCATCATCAATCAGGTCTTTATATAACCTCTTTGAGCTCTGGCAGGAAGAATACTGGCTGAAGACTGCGCACAGGCTGCGCTCTCTGCGTGTGCCTTTCACTAGCTTGGAAGGCGTCTGCCATTTTGTTCGACGTTCCACAGAATTTCCGGCAGGCCAACAGCGGCCGACTTGTGTTTTATAAATGTGAGGCACCGAAAGAAAGAAAAAAGTCTTGTCGATGCGTTCACAAGATTGGCCTCAAGATTGGCCTTGAGATGGTTGGCCTCAAGATTTACTGTAGTCGAGAGTTCTTTGCTCACAAAGGACCGTCTGGTCGGCGAATCAGCTTGGCTGGTAGGGACAACCTCCAACCTGGCAACTGATTTTCTACATGAATGAGTTCTTGCCTACAGGTCCAGCAACTCAGCCTTGCTGCAAAGCTTCTTTGCCAGTTCAGTTGGTGTTGACCCAGTTGACAAACCTGGGCCAATGAACACTTCAAGAAACACCCATTACTTTTTGAGCAGGGCTAGGGATGCCGCTTGCCGTCCTTCCAGTAGCTCTTTCGCCCTGTTCCCTGCATGGAAAGCGTTATGTCATCCAGTGTGCGTCCACATCTCCGGTTGACAAATCTTGCAGAATCCAAAAGCGTCGAGGAAACATAGGCAACCTGGAGATGCCCTGAGATGCCTTGGAAGTTGTCACCACACCCATGCCATGCTGCTTTCCGTTGGCCTTACCAGCGGAGTCATGCCGGCGCTTCGAGAGAGAATCGAGAAGGTTTGAGGCTGCGACCCACTGGCCTTCGTAAGTCCGGCCGTCCTCAGGTTTCCGCAGAGCATCAAAAAGATATCCCTTCTTGTTTTCTTTAGGCCGATTAGTTAAGTCGGCGCCTACTTAATTAAGGGAGTAAACAAGCTAGCAGTATAGCTCACGCTTCTTCAAGGAAGCTCCCGTCACCTGAGGGCGGGTGGGAGCTTCCTTGAAGAAGCGCTCGCACCAATAATTTGGTTCCTAGAGTTTTAGGGAAACTTAAATATATAGGTGTTTATTCTTTCTAATTATGTCTCATGTTTGGGCGGAAGTGGTAAGTCAGGGTAGGCCGTGAGGGAAGTGGTAAGTAGAGCTTAGTAGTGAGTCTAGAGAAGGAAATAGACAGCAACGAAAGACAAGGATACAATAATGCTCTGGTTCGGAAAGCGAAAAACCGTTGCTTTACGAAAGAGGTTCCCTTACAACATAAACACTTTATGATTTTACATGCTTGACACTTTACACCTTTCCACTTCTCGACTCTCTCGGATTTGTGCGACAACATGTCATGTCTGCATACCTGTGCCAGTCTGTCTCAGCCCTCAACCGGCCAGGTGAGGGTTCCCTCACCTTCCTGATTAAAGCTTCAAAGCATAAAAAGTGCATGATACAAATCCCAGAAAATCCTAGAAGACTTCATTGGTCTCTGCATGCATGTCTCTGCTAGTCTTGTCTTGCACCAGCAGCTTCGTCAGGCCCAGTGTGCAAATGGACTCGCCTTCTTGCCATGGCTGAACTCACCCTGACCATCAGGACCCAAGTCTTGACTCAAGCGTACTGTGGGCATGTCTGAGTCACATATGAACATACTATACATATGTTGTGCCAGCCTCAAAAATCCTCCCATCAGGCCATCTCATGGTTCCTGCCCCATGCCTTATTGAGCGGCACTGCTCAAGAATCTGAAAGCAAATTGTGCCACGCACTGGCGCGCAGGAGCTCATGGGCTGGCTTCAATCCATTTTGCTCCTTTCAAGTAAATGTAATGTTGCGTGCTGGGGCTGTCACATTTGATTTTCTATCCAGTCACCATTGAACTGGCGGCCATCAGCCCATACATATCGGCCTGACTTCACGTCCAAGAGGCATTTACAGGAAATCTAAAATGTCTCCTGTTGTGAGGCTTGTTTGGCGGTCACTGTCAATTTGCTTGGCCTTCTCCATGCATGTCGTTGTTCGCAAAGTTTCCCTGGGCTGTCTAGTGATTCACTGCAGGAGGGCACGCTTTGAATTCTGGCGATGCGGCGATGAGAAGAAAAGAGTGTGCTTGGCCGCTTGGCCCCCTTAAGCAGGCGCCCTGCCCGCCTCGTACATGCAACCTTCACCCCACATAAACTTTCCATGGCCGTGCTTCCTGGCTGTGCATTTTTCGTCCAGTGTGAAACGAAGTACAATTAAGCTAAAGAACTAGGAACATAAATTTGCAAGTGCCACACAGTGCAACGTGTCCTGCCATCTTTGAAAGATCCAGTGAAAATTGATCCATCACCCCACCGCTCAATGCCCTGGCCATCCTGACAGAAAAATGATTCCTCAATACTCGTGACCTACAAGCTACACAGCACGGCATGCCTGCAGGTCATTCGACCAGTCACCCTCATAGGTGGAGGCCTGCACAAACGTGGCTTGCCCATGCTTTTCAAACCTGGACGAAGGCAGCAGTGCCTCGGCGAGAGTTCCAATGCCATCGCAAATAAGTCTGCCCTTACCATCCTTCATGTCCTGCGTGGGACAGAAGACTTGCGGTGCTGCATTTGCTTGTGCCGCTGAGGACTGTCTGGCTCCTCTTTGTACTCGCCTTCATAGACGGCACCATTCGCGTAGGTATACCTAGTGAAGAATAGCAACAATGGCCCAAGGCTGAAAAGATCTTACACCCTTGCCCCCACGTTCATCAAGAATTCCCCAATCTTCTCAGCGCACTTCGCAACCCCATGTTTTTTTCCATTCTTGAACTGGCCCTCGTAAACAGCACCGTCTGGCATGGTCAAGGTGCCCTGCAGAGATTCCAGGGTGGCTGGAAAATGCTGCGTTCACTTTCATCTTCAGACTCTATAAAGACCAAGAAATCATCCATAAAACTCTATGCGCCTCTCCATTGAAGAGGCTATCTCGGCACTGTCCCACATAGACCTTGCTCGCAGCCGCACAGCTGCACAAGGTCAATACTGTCGTGTGCGTCTGTTTCATGTGATGCCCCGTATAACAAATGCACTATTATTTTCTTTTCTTCAAGTTCGGTGTTGCTTTGTCAAGAGGACCCCCACTGAACCGTCCTCAAGCTGTCTTCTGACATCCTGTGAGAACGTGCGTGCTATGAGATTCGGAGAATGAAGCGTATCAAATTTGATGCGTCTGAAGCTGTTCCGCTGATGCAGCACTGCCTCCAGAACAGATCCATCTGTGTCCTCACCCATGAACGATACAGAGAACGCATAAATATGATTAATATGTATATATATATATACATATACATATAGCCGCTGGGTTCAAAGGCCCTAAAGCTCGGGCTATCGGGGGCCCGAGGCCGGCTGTGAGTGCGGACTCGGACCGGTGTCGACGAGGAAGAGTCCGTACTCTTCTCCCGGTGCATCTTTGTGTTGGTGTCTTTGTGACCCGCCCGTTGCTCCTTTGCCATGGACACTGCTTTGGTGCTCGATCTGGCTGACCAGGTCCTTGCTGGATCGACGAGGACTATGTTCAGGTCTCTCCTTCATGACCTTTCGGCGGCAACCTTTCCGCTGCAGGTGTGTGGAAGAGCACTCATCGCTGGTGAAGCTATATGCTGCGCAGGTGATTCGATTGAGCTTAAGCCTCTCGCCTTTGCCTGGGCTTCCACCAAGCTGACTCAGTCCCTGACAAGGTTGTGGTCACTATGCCGGAGCTTACGACACGATCGATACCTGTTTGCCCAGGTGCACAGTTGATCTGTTGTGGCACATTGCTCTCCTCACCGAAGTTGCACATTTACAACTTTGCTCATTCAGCCTCAGTTCACTTTCGCCCGGAGCTGGACTGCACTTTTGGGTGGGATTGCACCCACCTTTTTTGCGGAGGCCTCTGTGGGTGGAGCCAAGCCATAGAATGGCTCCCGAATGCTGGTTTCGGATTTGCCCTTGGACGCCAGGTTTTTGTGGACCATGATGAGACGATCCTTCAGCTGCGCAAGGCCCGCCATAAGTGTGAGCTGCTTCGATGTCCCATCCGACCAAATGAACCCTGGAATCCTGCTGGGAAGATTGCCATTGTGGGCGACGTCGCCGACCCCACTATACCGTATGTTCATAGATGCCAGGTCAACCTCGCGCGCACGCTTTCACCACCGTGCCAATCGTGGTCGAAGGGTGGCAAATCATTGGGTCTCATGGACCCAAATGGATGGTCCGTTGTAGCTGGTTTGGAACAAGTTTTCATGCTGCAACCCATCCTGGCATGTGCCGAATGTGTGGACGAACTGGCTTCGCATGCTCATTTTAAGCTTGTACAGTGTATAGCTACCATGTTTGGGTACAGAATGATTTGGTCGCAGATCGTCCCTTACCATGAGTTAGCTCACCACTGTCGCATGAGGTGGTTATGTGTATGGGTCCGTGCCGATGTCCCCGCAGAGCCTCTCGGATTTAGCCTGCCATGCTCCATCGTGCCAAGAGTCCCGTGGAATGATGATTGCTATCAGTTCTACCTTCCTAAGGTCTGGACAGAACAAGCACGATTGAGCAGTTCGGAAGCCGCCATTTACAATGATCCGCAACTTGTTCCAGCAGCAAAGAGGGCAAAAATTGTTGCCTCCACACGACCTGATGCTGGCCTGCAGGGCCGTCTCGCTTGCCACACCGAGCCGCTTCCTACGCTGTGCGCCTCGTACTCAAGCCAACACCACTTGGCAAGTGATCATTTGCAAACAAAAGGCATCTTCGCAGTTCTCAAGCAACAGGATGGCTTTTACTGCTTCCTCGATCCGGCCCACTTTTGCAGTCTGTTCGGTCTCCTTGCAGAACTTGCGCTACCGAGCAAACTTTCGCTTGCGTTCAAAGTTGTTGGCAATGCCATCACTATTCCACAAAGTGTCATGTGCATTTGTGTCGGTCTGTATGCAGTACTGCCTGAATCCATCGATCCAGTCTCTATCATGAGAGAAGCATGGGAGCACCGACTGACAGCCCAGTCGGCCGTTCTTTTCGAGCAAGGTCCGTTTGTCCGTCTCATGCCTTCAGCACAAGTGCACCAGTGCCTGACTCCTAAGGTCATCTCTCAAGGACAAGGTGAATGGCGGGTTCAATTCAGTCTTGATGCCGGGGCTACGATCCTGGAGACCCGAGCTACACCCACGGCCATTTTCATTGAGGTTTTGACTACCGTCCTTGATGGCCCTGAGGGACTTTTCCAGCAGGGCTCTTTGATCTCGTCCGGGAGCAAAGGCAGCATCAGGATGAGCTTGCGAGAGCTTGCGGCTATTGCTGATGACTGGGATCTCCTCATTGCCCGTGTGTGCCTTCTTCGGCGCCGTATGATCTTGCAGCCAGTTGATCAACCTTTGACTACGTGTGCCATCAAGGGTCCACGCCCTGCTACAGTGCCCATCATCGACCTTGTGAATGATGCAATTGAGTTGCCGCGCCCTGGAACTTTAGAAATGTTTGGGGGTTCGGAAGTCTTTGTCAAGCTCCTTGAGATCATGAAACCGATTGACTTCGTGAAAGGATCTGAGTACTTTCCAGTGTATGTGGTCCATCACATGCTACCAGGAGCTGTCCGACTTGGCTGTACACTGTAATCACGCCAATTATGACAAAGTCCTTGCTGGTCTGCAACGATTGCTCTCATCCACTGAGCGGTTGATTACGACCTTGGCTCACATGAAGGGGTCGCTGATTCCAGCTCCCCCTTTCGCATCATCCATGTCTTTGAGCAGCTAGCGCCGAGCGATGGCATTGCTGTCACTGTTTGCCTTCCCGAAGAAAAGCAAGTGATGCACTCTATCGTTGGCAGTGCCTCGAGGCCTCTCCCCACTTTCCAGTTTCGAGGATTCCTACATGAGGTTGCCTGGATCAATGAAGCACCGAGTGATCAATTTGATGGCCCTCTCCAAAATGGTGCCCTCTTGAGCCTCCAGAGAAGCCATGAGATTCGTGCGGGGGGTCACCATCTTTCCTCAGGTGCCACACCAACACTTGCTGCAGGCGCTGACTTTCAAGCACGAGCTGAGTATATGTGCAACACGCATGGGTGGATCGCTGCAGATGAACTGTGGAGCATCACACAGAACATCATGTTCATGCAGGACTCATACAAGTTCACCGCACCAGTCTACTGGAACCAGCAAGATTCTGACTTCACGCTGTCACCATTTGGAGAGCTCTACTTGTTCAACAATACCACCAATGTGATTTGCGTGTTGGTTGATGATCATTGGGCAGCCATCGAGATCCGCAGAACTGCTGACGCTGCAAATCTCAACTTTGTGCAACTTCCACAACACCTGCAAAATGCTGCAACTCGTGTCGTAGCTAGGCTCTTGGACATTGCGCCTCATCGGCTGTCGACATCAAGTGAACATGAGGAGCATCTTCCCCATCTATGTGGATGGCGCCTAGTGCAGAGGTGGGTCCAACTGTTCGATCTAGCAGATGACTTCCAGCCCGAATCCTTTGCTGGTGTTGCTGATCGCTTTCATGACACCATTACAATGACCATGGAGTGTGCATTGGAAGACTGGAGAACGTACAACGCTCCTCCTCCTCTGGCTCATCTTGCCGCCCTTTTGCGCAAGAAGTTTCTGGTTTTCCTGGCGCGAAGAGAGTCTCAGCAGAACCCTATTCCACAGAAAGAACTCGTCGCTGCTTGGCCAGTCAGACTGTTGCCGCTATCGTCCACTCTGCCAACTCCACCGCTTTCTGCGGAAGAGGTTGCAGCTAACCGGGTTGCTACTCGCTTGGAACACATGCTCACATACAGTGGCTGGATGGCAACTGATGAAATGGATTTCTCCCTTGATGTGGCCAGAATCATCCAGCCATCCACCCTGTTTTGCGCCCCGGCAGTGTGGAATTTGACTACACGTGCATTGGAATTCCCCAATGGCCTGATCCCGGAGTATGGCACGTACAACCATGTGATTTGGATGGTCATCCACAACAACCACTGGCTACAATTCGAGCGCTACCGCCGAGGGTCTGACTCTGTCTTCATTGCCTCAGTGCCGATTTCCCAACGATGCATTTATGTGCCCTTGATTCAGCTGCTCCTTCGTCATCTTGGGCTGGACCATCAGAACATTGCCATTGACTTCGTCGACCAGACGATGCCCAGAGACCTGTGTGGATACTATCTTTTGGCCAATGTCTTCTACCGCCTTGGGCTTCAAACACCACCTCCGCTTGATGTCCGTGACCATTTCCTGGCCCAAGGGCCACATGCTCACTTGATTGCTCGGGTCCGACGAGAAGCCCGCAACACATGGATTCGTGCTGAGGGCCTACCCGATTTTGCAGTCTTTGCAGCCAACATCCGTGATTGGTTCCTACTGCGAGTCAAGTCCAATCGCTTTCCGGACACGTATTATGCTGCAGGTACTGTCCAAGACATGCATGTCGACGCTTCGGCATCGCTTGTTGCTGCCAATGCTTCAACTCCAAGCCATGGAGCTGGTTCGAGTGCACCAGTCAAAGGCATTGATCCGGTTTGGGTTAATGACCCGTGGGGTCGGAAAACTCCTCGGCCTGCACAGTGCAAAAGCGCCATCGGTTGGTTTTGCCGCTGGCATTCTTTGGTCATCCTTTTCGTTCTCTTTGCTCCGTCGGTTTCGTCTTTGTCCCGTCTGTGGAGGCCCTGCTTCACCGGGTTTTTTCTCCTGGGGTCTGCATTCTCTTCCCGAGCATGCACGATGGATTTCGAGGTGCTTCGTAAGTGCTTAAGCCGTAGGGAAACGACATGTGTTCCTGATCGCCCTGGTCTCCGGTTAATACTTTGCAGCCGCTGGGCTCAT